CAGACACGGTAATGGCAACAAACAAAAATCAAAAGAGAATTTGGCTACAGCACAGAGATTCTTGTCAAATATTAGGTAAAGTTAAATAAGTCTGATAGTAGGGATAGGCATTAGATCAAAATGGACTAGAAAAGCCTTTTATTTTTAAACTTTTTTTTTTTTTTACACAAAAGGAGCTATTTCCTTTGGGCACTCAACTTAATGGAGGTGTCTTATTTATTTTTTCTTTCTTGCAGAGTACGTGTTATCTATTCTGGTTCAAGCACACACCATGCTCATTTGACCTCTGTGCTTGCTTTTCTGCAGTATATACCCTTCACCTGGAATGGCCTTTCAGTGTTCTACCTGTTGCTTCAAATCCTTTTTTCAAGGATGATTTGCAATCTCTCTGACCTTCAGTTTTCTCATCTGCAAAATGATGGGGCTTGAGGACAGCACTACGCGCTCTAATCTCTCCCAGGTTTGAAATCCTGTGAGTTTAGTGGCACCATAAGTTTCTTGTGGCCGTACTCAGCCCATTGCAGTTTCCTCTAAAAATAGCACGCTGTTGAATTATTGAGTACTAAGGGGCCACTGCGATTTTTTTTCGAGGTCTTGGTCAAAAGAACACCAACTTGGAATTAAATAGACCTCAGTTTAAATCTCATATTAGGCGTTTACCAACCTACAGCCTTGGACAAGTCTCATATTTGTTCTTATTTCATTATCCTGAACCAGCACTACGCGATTGTGGTAAGATGAGGTAAGGTATTGAGAGCACGTGGCACGTCGTGGGTTTCTAATAAAAGGCAGCTGTTGTATAGGGTTCCTCCCACACCTAATTAATATTCTAAGGTTCTTCGGCAGTGCTGTGTGGTTTTGTGGAAAGAGCATGGGCTTCAGAACCAGGCAGACCTGGGTTTGGTCCTAGCTCTGCCTCCCACTTCCGCTGTGGGCCCTGGACAGGCCACTTTGGATGTGTTTCCCTGTTCAGCCCATCTGGAGAATGCAGCCTAATTGTGATACTTAGGTATCCAGTGCTGCTTGTGAGAATTTGACATAATGTATGTAAGCATCTAGCACAGTGTCTAGTACTCTGAGAGCGTTTGGTACTTATATGAGTAGTAGCTGTAGCAAGAGCTGATCAGAGAATGGATAGGTAAACGGATATGAACCTAAAATAATAGGTAAAAGTAAGAATATATTGTGCTCCCACAGGCACACCTGAAGGGGTGTGGTCTTGGAAAGCGAGTTCTGCAACGGATTGCCTGTGTGATGGTTGTCTCGGTGTTTTTAGATGTTTTCAGCTAATTATATTATACTTAGCTTGAAACAGTTATCTCCTCTCCCCGAGGTATGGGGAAGGATAAGCAACATTGCCAGTTTTATGTGTGTCACTGTCTTTAGGTGATGGAAACGTGGTGCTGATGAGGCCCAAACGTCACTGTTGAATTGAAGATAGGTTAGTTCAACTTGGCTGAAGAAAACTTACCAAATTTGCCCGATTGTCAAACATTTATGGCAACACTCATAGAAATGAGAGTGTACAACAGTTCAGCAGATCGGTCACTGCAGGAAAACCAATTCTGTGTTCCACTAATAAGGATACTAATTTCATCTTCATTTATCGTAATATACAAAGAGTAACATTTAGTAAGCAACAGGAGGCTTTGGGTAATAGGCTGTGTTTAGTTATTTTAAAATATGTTTTTATTGATTTTTTTTTCTTTTTTTAGAGAGGAAGGTAGTGGGGAGGGAGAGACAGAAACATCAATGTGAGAGAAAAACATCTATCTGTTGCCTCCTGTATGCACCTCAATTGACTGGGGATCGAACCTGCAGTCTGGGCATGTGCCCTGACCGGGAATCAACTGGAGACCTTTTGGTGCACAGGATGATGCTCAACCAACTGAACCACACTGGCCAGGGCTAGGCTGCATTTATTAATAGATCATGTTTCCTAGATTTTTCTTGCTTCAATAGCTAGGAATTAAAGGACCTACTTATAATTTTAAGTTTAAAGTTTCTTCTCACCTCTCAGGTGTTATTTTCATGGTATTTCTAAGGTCTTGTTTTTTCTTTCTTTCTTCTTAGTAATTGATAGCTTTCCCCACACTTCCATAAAATAACCCGTGTTCTTACACCTGATTCTAACTTTGAATCTGAAATAACTTACAGGTTGGATGAAAGGCCACCCTCCTGCCTTGCCCTCCTCTGCAAGTCTAAAATAAATTTCTTGTGATAAAAAAGACCAAGCATTTTTATTATGTTGCATGTGTTTAATAGGATTTTTCTGAGCACCTGCTGGGCCTGCTTGGCAAGTGTGCCTCTACTCAGTCTTTCACAAGTTTATCTGAAACATCAGAGCTGTGAGTGAACCCTTCCAGAGCAAATGTCAACTTCAATGAATATCACTTTCAAACTAATATTTATCATGCTTTCCAGGCATAAGCTAATCTCTGCACCTGGCCTTGAAGTTGCAAGCTGAGATTCACAGGAGCCGGTACTCTGCTTACTTACATGGGACACAGCTAGTGCTTTAGGAAGCTCTGACAGTGGAGAGCCTCTAAATCAGTGGTTCTCAACCTTCTGGCCCTTTAAATACAGTTCCTCATGTTGTGACCCAACCATAAAATTATTTTCGTTGCTACTTCATAACTGTAATGTTGCTACTTTTATGAATCGTAATGTAAATATCTGATATGCAGGATGGTCTTAGGCGACCCCTGTGAAAGGGTCGTTCGACCACCAAAGGGGTCGCGACCCACAGGTTGAGAACCGCTGCTCTAAATGAAGAGGTTATTTCATGTGGATGTTCTTGAGGCTCCTGGAGAGAGTACCTTAATAGAAGCTGCAAATCCAGTCAGTCACTGAGAATGTTAAGGAGTGTTGTCCCGGTAACCAGTTAACTGGTAGATGGTTGGTTCCTTTCCATGAGTCTCTTGGGCATTGTACCATGTTCAGCTTTCTGGATTTTATACAGACTGTAGAAATTCACATTTCCCACTAATAACAAATACAAAGAAATACAACTTACAAACTGCATACCTAAGCTAAAAATTACAACCTACAGACATAAGCTGAAAATTACATTATATTAATGGCATTTCCCCTCCTCCCATGCCCGTAGGTAAGTATTTGGGAGTAATTTCTCACAAAAAATAATGGCAATTTTGGAGCCTATGTCTTAAAATGGTAATTGTAAAGAAAACCGGTACTCTCACAGAAAATGACCTATACTGCATGGAAGGAAGACCAAGTGAGAAAATGGGTCTGAGTCCTATAATCGATTTGATAAGACATCTGGAAGAAGATGAGAAAAACTATTGCACAGGTGAAGGTTTGAATGGTTCTGCCTCATGTGGTTCTAACTCTCCGTCTTAGAGAATGGCAACTTAAAAGGAATCTTCTCCTTCTACTCTGTTCCTTGGAAGTAGAAATACTTTTTTTTTTTTTTAAATCTATTTCATCCAGTCTCCCGTTCCTGAGAAATACTGGATTCTGGGTTGATGGGTGGTGTATTTGTGCGAATTTTTGATAAGAGCAGCCAAGGGGGGTGGGAAGAGATGAGTGCGGAGACCGTAGAAGAGACACATATTTTCCTCTTCTCTGGAGCACATGGTGTGGTGAGCAGTACAAACCCCAAATTGGCCAGCCCCATTTACTTATCCAGGAGCAATAGAGAACAGGGTGGCTAACCAAAGTCAGGGGACTGAATTCTGCTGTGCGGGCAGGCCTGCTTCTCTTCTCCCTACATTAGAACAGTGGTTCTTAACTTCTGTTCATTCATAAACTGCTGTACATCTGCCC